CCTATTGGTCTTAAAACTTTCAAAACCATAGATATCAAGGACCCCAATAAGCGATTTTGAGCTAGCATCTTGCCCAATTGAGACATTAATTTTGTCCACCAACCTGCATAGATAGAAATAGCTTAGCATCACATCAGCATTTAATCCTTACTCTACGTTATGCTTTTCATAAACCAGGTGTAAATTTGATGATTTTGACTAACCAATCAAACAATCGAGAATATATTGTCTTTGCTAAACCATCACGGCTAATAGCTGCACTTTGAGGATCAAGGCTTCTCTTGATAACTTCTTCAGGTGTGATCATCACACGCTTGCATAATGCATCTTCCAGTGCATCAGGGTCGCACCTGAGGTAATGTTATCATCACTATTATAACAATATGAAAAGTGAACAATCTGGAATACAAACTACGGGGGCAATAGCACGAAGGAATAAATACATGAGAAGCTCTGCAGTCATTTTGAGGTGGAACTTCGCTTTATCATCTTTTGGAACTGATGAATCAACTTCCGAGCCCTTGGTAAACTCAATATTTCCGACATGAAGAATTGCAGCAACTACTCTAAAAATTGCTTCCTAAGAGAGAAGGACAGAAAAAAGGGGGTGTGAGACGACGGTCTTTCTAGGTTCCATGTTTAAATGGTATTAAGAACAGGCTGTACCTGCTCCTTCGCACTTATCCCAACAATATCCATAGCTCTCCTTGTGGCAAGATATTCATGGGCATCACTTACACCAACCAGTTCGTAGCAGCGTGACTGGTTAAGATAGCGAAATGATTTAGGATTTGCCAACTTGTATTTATCAATTTCCTGTCAGGATCAACAAATATTAGAAAGAAGTTGCAAGAACAGAAATTTGCAGCAATACTTTGATTGTCTTGATCGAAATCACTGTTCCTACAGGATCTTACCTCCTGTGGTGCAGCACAAAGAAGGTAGAAGCAATGGTAGTTCCGTTCAGGATCAGAGATTTGGCAAACACGAGACCGTTCCAGAAGGTAAGTTCTAATGGCTGCTCCTGAGATTCTTCCTTGCTTATCAAATTGGATTTCAACAAATTTACCAAAACGACTACACCAGTACCAAACAAAGAGAATACCGATGTGAATTTATCAGAACATGATAATAATTCGGGAAAAGTAATTTATGCCAGTAAAATAATTGCTGAAATTAAGACAAACTCGACACTAACATGTAATAACTTGATATTGTCTTACCTAGAATTGTTATTTCTAACCGTTTTGGCATTGCCAAATGCTTCAAGAACTGGATTGGACTGCACTCAGAAAAGAAATAAGCTCCATAAGAATTGCATCAGAAACTTATAGAGCTTGATATAAAGAAGATAATATCGAGTGAGTGAAGCTTAACATCGACGCTAGTCAAAGGTATGATAACAATCATACTTCAAGAACTTGCTGTTCAACTGTCCGTCCTTCAGTTGCAGCCCGGCCACCAAGAAATGCAAGGTACCGCATAAGCATTTTTGTGGTCTCAGTTTTACCTGCTCCACTTTCACCACTGACCAGAATTGAATTGCTTTTTCCCTCATTGATCATTGCCCTGATTTGTTTAAAGTATTAACTTTAAATATTTGGTTTATTGATATACGGAGCAATATATAGCATATATAATAGGATTGAAAGTAACCTATATGCAACATCTGCAACTGCAAAAACATGAGGGCTCAATTCTCCAAGTGGTGCTCCTTTGTATTGTTGCATCATGTGACCATCGTAAAGATGGGGAAGTCTTTGGAATGGGTTAATGGCAATAAGGATATTTCCGGTATATGTCTATCATGATAGCAATGGAGACATATATCATTGCAGGATTACAGAGAGTAAGAATTCCCGATTTGAATAAAAACTCTGTAAGTATTTTAAGATGAAGGGAGGAATGCGTACATAGATTTCATTAAGTTCGTATCTAGTTTTTAAATTCTGCAGAACTCCAGGCTCATGCAGATAAGATAACTTTGTCATGTCATCAACTCCGGCAGCAGGAGCTTCCATATCTTTTGGATATATTTTTGCCAATTTGACAACCATCTTAATAGCACCAAAAAAATGAACGGGAATCTCATTAGAGTACAATAATGTAATACTAGAAAGTTTTGTAAAATAAGCAAATTTCGAAGACCAAATCATAAAAATAATTTCTGATGAAATGGTTGATCTGCAGTTGTGATAAAATTAGTTTTTGATGTATCAGTAAAAGGATTTACACCTTCTTCCCATTGCTACCCTCGATCTCAGCTTCCTGTCCAGTAATCTTCGACACCTGTCCATCGATCCAAGCCAATTCTGGGTCTTCAACCCAGACATGAGAACCTACAATGATATTCACTGGCGTTCCCTATCGAAAGATATAAGAGAATGAATAGTATTAGTTATGCAGATGAAGTGCCATCACAAACATAAATTTCACCAATAACCATTTCCGAAGACTAATTTGAATCGTTTTTATATGGATTCTGGCAAAAACTAAATGGAAAAATTATTATGTGGCCAACGCCTTTGTTCTATTTCTGTTGCTTATCTATGAGGACTATGTTAGCTATCCCCACAACCAAAAGCATAGTGTGATGGTAAGTGCACTTGTCTCTCTTGCTCAATGCTTCACTCAGAGTTGTCTCATAAATTGTGTCATTCGAGTTTCTTTCACTCGAGAAGAAGCAACAGATTCCCAGTCTGTCCACAATCTAGCACTAACCCACACACTAAACGATTGTTCCGCTTTGTATTGCAAGCACTAAATCATATCTTTGATCGAAAAACAAAACTTAATCATTTGTAATTAACAAACCCAATTTCGATATACAGCAAAACTCCAAAGTGAAGTTCCTTAAACTGTAACAATCATTCATACCCTGGAACGAGTTTTCGGCCGCATGTACATTTCAACCTGAATTTAAGGAACCTGATCTAGTCTACAAATTAAAGCAAGAAAAAGAAAAAAAAAAAACTTTCACAAATTTACGAAAATTCAACCGAAACCCAACATACCATTTTATCCTTTTAAGCTGCCAATCCAAAGCTCATCAATTCATTAGGCACTTTCATCAAACATTTGAGCCGGGTGACAACAAACAACCATCAGCTCCCAGCTCCAGCAGATAAGTGTTCCTCTCCACCAGACACCATAAGAAAAAGAGACCCTTTTTCTCGAAAGCATCAAACTTTCGCAACGAAACGCGAATCAAGCTTGATGGGGGTCAGGGATGTCGGATCAACGCGCAGGAAGCTCCATTTTCCCGGGAAATTGGCAAGAAAGTGAAGGAAAACCGAAATGGGGGACGGAAATGGATCGATTTGCGAGGTGGGAAAGTTTTGTTCGTGTGATTGCTGTGTGTTTTGTGTGTGTGGGAAGTGAATGTGGATCGAGTGGATTGAGGGAGTGGACATTCTTCACAAGGACCTCTTGTTTCGCTTCGCTTTCCGCTGTTTTCGCGCCAATTAGTGGCTGCTAACCAAGTCTTCTCTCTCTTTCCTTAACGGTCACATTTCTTCTTTCATGTCCAAGGGACGTTCAAATCTTGTGTGTCCGGATGTATTGTAAGAATTTGTTACTCTTCGTTTGTGCCGTTGGATCGAAATCATGGTCTTTCGGATTTTGACGGATTGGATTTTCTTTCTCGTCCAATATGTTTTTTGGTTTGGAAAATGATTTTCGCGAACTCATTTTTTCTTTTGCGTACATGTTGTACGCTGTATTTGTTTCTATCAGTTAATTAACGTCGGCATGAAAAATTCGAGTTTGTCCATCTTAACTTTTTCGTGTAAAACAAAGGAAACACAAGCACAAGTTTGTTTTTCATAAAATTACTCGGTAACATGACTTTAATCACAAGTTCACAATCATACATAAATTATCACACTGCTTGTCTCTTCAATACAAAATCATTGTCTGACACATATACACGAACATCTCCTTAAAACCGTAAAAAGAAAAATCTAAATGAAACTCAAGTCACTGGTAGGGATCATGTGACATAGATTTTCAAACATTTTTCTCGTCAGAAATGATAATTCAGTGAGCCATAGACTAAAAAGAGAGTCATCCCATTGAATCGAAAAGTCACGACCAAGTATCTTTTTCTTCTTCTTATTCGGAAGATCGGATACTCGTATCTTGACAGTCAAATACGTATATGTGTGACTCTGATATGCATCTAATGTGTATCCATGCGTATTCACCGTGTATCGTATCTCATGTGTTAGATACGAGATACGAGGTAAACCACCATGTCCGTGCGTCCTAGGTTTAGCTTGTTTCGAATGGTTTCCATGGTCTGGTTCTGTTTCTACATTGCCTTGAAACCTAGTTTGTAGCTCAAATTCTACTTCTGCGATTACACATTGCTTGTGTGGATGGATGAAAAAATATTTTTCACATTGCCTGAAAACCTAGTTATAGTTGTCGTTTGGGAACATGAAACATCGATTGAAGAGAAGCCAATGCTCCAATAATGTCACTGTCCAACAGGATCCTCTCCGGATACTTTTGATGAGGATCCTAAGGATCCGTAAATCGTACATCGTGCGATCAGTTTTTGTCAGGTACTGTTTGTATTTAATTTTAAATAAAAATATTTAAAATGATTTCCAACCATACGATCAGTTTTTGTCAAGTACTGTTTGTATTTAATTTTAAATAAAAATATTTAAAATGATTTCAACCATACGATGTACGATAAATGAATATGATTCACGGATCTTCAAAATCCTCACAAAGAGGATTCGGCAAGAATCTGAATTCTGTCGTTGGGGTATTAGTGTGACTTAAAAATCAAGCAAACAACCAGAAGGCATGATTTAATACGATTTTAAAATCTCAATGTGTGGTGCGATAAAAATTAGAGAGTGTAAGATGTAATTGCCTGTAAAATTTAATTAGGGTTTTTTTGCGGACCGGCTTTTTTTATCCTCGGACCGGGTTTTGTAGGGTTTCGGTTTGGCGGGTCAAGTTTTTAACTTGTCAACCGGCCGAGAAAGAAAAAGGGAAAAAGCAGAGGAGGAAGAAGAAAGAGTGAGATGCAGACCGCTGATCTCCGGGCGGCAAACATATAATTACTCCGATGGCGAGGCTTTTTTGCAATTAACAGATTTGGGTCTCTGATTACATACGAGCTCAAGGCAAAGATTTATTCTTTTTTCCTTTTTAACCCAAAATTCATAAGAATTCCATTTCCAGCATGCGCTGCAAGATGCGCACTTTCTTCAACTCCGCGGCGGCGGCGGCATTGGCGGTGGCGGCGGTTTTACTTCTGGGTCCGAGCACCGTCGGCAAGTCCATGGCATTTGCTTCTTCATCTTCCGAGACCACTATGCACACTAACAATTGGGCTGTTCTGGTCTGCACCTCTCGATTCTGGTAAATCAAACTTCATATTTGCTGTTTTCAACTTGAATTCTGATATATTCGGTAGAATAAATCGTGCCCATTTCACGGTTTTTGGTGATTAACGATACCCTTTTTCGAAATTTGTTTACTTGCTATTCTGGCAACTTAATTTTTTTGAAATTTTTGTTTTTTGGACATGCTTGTTTATATAATTTCTAGTTTAATTGCTCTATTTGTGCCATCATGCAGAAAAATAAAGCCCCTCTGATAACCATTTCGTTTTAAGTTTTCGTTTTCGGATGAGTTTATGTTCTAGGTGAAACATAGCTATTTTCAGGTTGTAGATGTATAAATGCACCTTATTCGAATTCATTCGAGTTCGCTATAGGTTTGAACTTGTATAAAACCCACATAATGTTTCAGCATTTCATATTTTCAATCTGAATTGAGTTTTTGCTATTCACATATTCAGTGTTATTTTAGAAAGAAACAAGAGATATTCGATTATTTGTCTTGGCTACATTAAGGGGCAGTTAGAAAGCTGAAGTGTTTCCTATTTTCATCTTAAGGGTTTTATTCGAAAGGATCAATATATGCCGCTAAATTCTCTTAATCATCGTGATGAGTCTTGGGGTGTAACCTATTCCAGGCTTTTGTAGTTCTACACAATGCCAGTTTGATTTATCTATCCCAATGTTTTTCTTCAGGTTTAATTATCGACACATGGCCAACACTTTATCCCTGTATCGGTAAGAACACAGGTCATTTCCTCCTAGATCATATTGCCTGTCATTTTTTTTCGTTTCTGTCATAGTTACTTTAGCCCCCTTTTTCTTTTGATTTACAGGACGGTTAAGCGCCTTGGAATACCTGATGAGAGGATAATACTCATGCTGGCTGATGACATGGCCTGTAATGCTAGAAACAAGTACCCTGCTCAAGTTTTTAACAACGAGAACCACAGACTCAACTTGTATGGAGATAATGTTGAGGCAAGGTTTCTTTATCCTGGTTAGGTTTTTACTTTAGTTTGAATAAATGTTTTTTTTCCGAATAACTTACCAATAGGAATGTATTAGGTGGATTATCGCGGTTATGAAGTGACGGTTGAAAACTTTTTACGTGTATTGACTGGGCGCCATGAGAATGCTGTTCCAAGATCTAAGCGTCTTTTGAGTGATGAAGGAAGCCACATCCTTTTGTATATGACAGGACATGGAGGAGATGAGTTTTTAAAATTTCAAGACTCAGAAGAGCTCCAGAGTCCTGATTTAGCAGATGCAGTTAAACAGATGAAAGAAAAGCATAGGTTGGAAGTTGTTACCTCTACCGCTGTTTCCTTTGACATTTGTAGAAGAATTTTTCTGCATTCCAATCTTGGCAACAATGAGAAGATGATTATAAGATGACAAAATTACATCTAGTTCTTTCATTTTATACAGTAGTTCACATTTCTTATGAAACTATCTATTTGAGGTAGTTTGGGACACTTTTTTTCTGTTGTACATATTGTGTTATCCATTTTGGTGATCGTTCCTACTGGGCAATCCTGAATTCATCTGAATAATAATCTGTCAAAATTTTAGATTCAAGGAGCTGCTGATAATGGTGGACACTTGCCAAGCTGCCACTCTCTTTAATCAGGTTTGTGGTCTGCCTCTTAGGAAGTTCTCAGAAAAAAACGTATCTAATTTTTTTAGCTATATCCTATTGCACTTGTTTTGGACTTAAAATCCGTGATGAAATTGTTCTATTTACATGCTTCTATTCTAAATCAAATTTGATATCTTGAGTTTTGCAGCTTCAATCACCCGGAGTTTTGGCTATTGGAAGTAGCATGAAAGGAGAGAACTCATACTCACATCACTTGGACTCTGATGTATGCTGTAGTTTTTGACATAAAGCATTGTTTAAACCTTTAAGTTCATTTGGCTGAGAATGCTATACCATGTTCTTGATTCATATTCGATCTGCGTATTAGATACCACTTATCGACTTTCATCTAATATTGATCACATTGTTTGCTTGATACAGGTCGGTGTTTCAGTTGTGGATCGTTTTACTTTTTACACCCTTGCATTCTTTGAGAGGCTAAATATGTACGATAATGCTTCATTGAGCAGGTATATTTCTTCTCATTGAATAAATTTCATGTCTTTTAAATTTTACAGAACTTTTGTAGTGTAACTTAGTTCAAAAATCAAAATATTCATTGTGGCCTTTGATTGTTGTTTTTCAGTCTTTTCACTTCCTATAACCCAAGCTTGTTGATGTCAACCGCATACTACCGAACAGATCTATACCAGCAACACCTGGAAGAGGTATTGAACTTTTAGACTTGTCTTCTCAATCTGAAGCTACTGAAGTTGCTTGCATTACCTTTTTTCAGTTGACAAGTTGTTTTCTTTACATTTTTCGGTTGGCAACACCCGGATAAATTTCCATTTTTTACTAATCCCCCTTGTTATGAATTTAAGCACTTATAAACCTGCAACTGGTACCAATATAATACTGTTTGGCGTGTCTCTTATTGTAAGACAAAAATCAAATGTTTTTGTTTTATTCTTAATGGAAACTTTCTGTGACCTTTTCATGGATCAAAACGTGTTTTATAAATGTTTCTTCCTAAGCAATATGAGAGAGGGCTAAACGTGTTTTATAAATCTCTCTCTCTCTCTCTCTCTCTCTCTCTCTCTCTCTCTAGGTGGCTGTGACGAACTTCTTCGGTTCAGTCATGGAAACAATACATACTGATTCAGCTTACAAAGCCCCTTCAAGAACAAGTTCAAGCAGAGCCGAAATCAAGATGCCCTTTGATCGATCAGTCAATGACAACGAAAGAAGAGTCTTGGCCGATTCAGACAGACAGGATCGTATCAGTGACCTGAAAATTGAGGTGCCCTTTAATATTCCCGTTATGATTATCTAGAAACCTCTGTCCTCGCATTTTTATTACACTGTTACGATGACAAGCAATGAATGCTGCAGGATCAACAAGGCGCTTTCGGACAATTGTGGAAAACTATAAATGACCGAGTTGATAAAATTGAAGACGTTGATTCCTTCGTGCGGTACAGCTTGTTAGTAATGCTTCCGTTGCTGCTACTTCCCACGTTGTTATCTTGGTGAAGGTTTCGGTGTATCTGATGCAAGTAACGTGTTCCGTTTAAAGCATGCAGTCCTTAATGTCTCTGTTGTCATGTAGGTCTCTATGTTTTTAATGAAACGGTGTTTTTTTTTTTTGCTGTGGGATGGTGATTTTGGCAATTAAAGATGCAAATCCAATCGATTAGTTTGAATGTTTCACGGTTTTACATATCTTATGCTGACATAAACATATCAATAGAAGGCTTCTTCTGCCCCCCTGCCGGAGTCGTCTTCTCCTCTTTCTTCTTTCCCGGTTTGACCTCAATCGATTTTCGTAGGCAAAAACATTCCGCATTTTCTCAACAACATGCTTCTATTCATTCTACTGCACGTCGATCAGCTGTCGGATACTTTTTTCCTGGACATCTTTGTTGGATAGCATATTCAGGAAACTGTGGACTTCAAGAGAAAGTGAAACTCCAAAAATTTAACAGATGTTTGTTGTCTCTTCGACTTCAAGGATTCAAATACGACTCCCATCCATCTTTCTGTAGTTTCTCCGCCTTTGTCAAAACTTCGTCCCTTGTGTTTTCTTGATACTGGGACATTCTGCACTCGAGTAAACTACCTCGTTAGAAAATGCAGGCAACCGAACATAAAAATTTAATCTCCAGACGCAATCAAGTGACAGAACCCAACCTTGATACTAGATCGGCATCACAAACACCTAATATCCTAACTGCTAGCAAACCAGCGTTGGTGGCGTTGTTTACAGCTACTGTTGCAACTGGGACCCCTCTCGGCATCTGCATAATCAACACAAATACAAAATAACTTCCTGATAAGTCATAAGAACTCAATAGTAGCAACAACAGAACCGAACCCGCATACCATTCTTGTCAAACAGAGTACAGAAAACTGCAGCAATGAAGTGAAAAATGAAACAAAGCGTAAATTTATAGGAGAAAAAGCAGAACAGTGTGAAATAATATGTACCTGCACAATGGATAAAAGAGAATCGATTCCATCCAATGTAGAAGCACGCACAGGGACACCGATAACGGGCAAAGGAGTGAGGGCAGCTACCATGCCTGCAAAACTCATGCGTCAGTTCAATTAACCCCAGAGAATGTATAATGCACTACACGAATTTGTTTGAAGCACAGTTTATGTGACTTGCCTGGCAAGTGAGCAGCACCACCAGCACCAGCAATGATGACCTGAATGCCTCTCTCCCGAGCAGACAAGGCATAAGAATACATCAATTCAGGAGTTCGATGTGCTGAAACTATTCTCACCTGTAAATTATATCGCATTAACATCATATAGTACTTAAACGCATAGCTCACATTCAACAGGTGATCATTTGACAGAAAACAGTAACATGTGAGAAGCAAACCTCATTGGGTACTCCAAACATATTTAAAATCTTTGCAGCATCTTTCATAACAGGAAGATCTGAATCAGAGCCCATTACGATACCAACACGCGGTGTGACTGCATCCAGAAAAAGGAAAGCAACATGAACGGAATTTGAAGATAACGAAGATTTCAAAAATTGCCAAGACTATTGAAGTACAATGAAATGAAAATGGAATCTATACAGTTTGGTCTTTCGAAGGGGTGCAGCTACGGGCACAAGGAAGGGACTCACCACAAAATATACAAGATCAATATTGCCGATAGTGTGGTTGCCTTGCCTTTCTTGCCCTAGACTTCTTTATAAAGTTCAACCATTTTCATTCCCCTTGTACCCTTCCAAATTTACAATAAATTTTCCACAATAATGATTTGTGATTTTTTGAAATTTACTAGTGGATGTAATAATGAAGCCACCTAAGGTTAATGCATATAACCACATAGGACCTGTAATCATGTGAAACCGCTCTACTACAACTACCTGCAGACTGACTATCCAATCTTTCTTCATTTAGCATCGATTCTAGCAGTTTTTCGACGTTTCCCAGGGAAGGTCCAACAATGGTGATATGACCCATCTTCCGTTGCTTCCGCATTTCTGCCACAGTATAAAAATATAGGTGATTCTTGAGTATGACTCCGAAATAAATAAGACGATGTAATATGAACATATGCAGAATCTAACCTGGCTTATCATACCAATGCACAGTGGCCCCTGGAGTACGCAATGCTCTTCCAATCAACTGCTGAGCTAGTAGGAAACCAGGTTCCCCCTGAATGCATAAAAGAGGCATGACGGCCATCAGCATTTGATTAACTGATTTATCTTTCATGACCACAGTGATAACTATACATTGTTTAGAACTAAAATCAGAAAATAAGTGCTAACAGATGGTGATCTGCACAGAATTGAATAGAACGTCACCTCATCTTCGCCAAGTAAATTGTACATGATTGCAGCTGGAGTTTTCATTGATGGATCACCAAGTGGAAGACCAACAACAGCCCTCAAATGCTGTTCATACTGTGAAGTGTAGCAAGACTCTATTGTGTGATGACCGCTATTGTGAGGTCTAGGAGCTACTTCATTTAGCAAAATCTGACAAGAAGTAAATACATGCTTAACTTAGTTGAATGCTGTAGACTTTTAAAAGAGAAAATTCCAATACGTCAATCAATTGATCACGAATAAATAACCATAATGCAAAGTCGTTAAAGAGAGGTCGATTGCTACCTGGTCATCCTTTGTCAAGAACAACTCAACTGCAAAGACACCAGCACCTTCTAATGAACTAACAGCTCTGGATGCAATATCAGTGGCCAGCTTTCTGATCTTCCATGACATGTTAGCAGGAGCCTTTACAATGTGACAAATGTTTTCCCTACAAAACAGATCCCCAAACATGCATGAACTCATCCGGCTTTATGTGCATATTATCGTCTAAATAAACAGATTGGAGCAAATTAAGATCAAAGATTGGCTGCTGACAGATAGTTCAAAACTTAATCTACAGCTTACTTGTGTATTGTTTCAACAACAGGGTAGCACATGATAGAATTGTCTCTTCCTCTTGCGACAATAACAGCCAGCTCCTACAGTTACATTGCCAAAAATGTAAGGAAGTTTCTTTCTTATGAACTCACTCAGAAGCATTGTGTTTTGTTGGGGATTAATGTGTGGCAATGTAAATCATCAAACAATGCTTATAGTCTCATAGTAACTTTTAGAAACCAACCTTTACAAATGGGGCCCATTTCTCAACATATAAGCCACGATCAAACCCTCCAAGAGCTGGAACAAAGTTAGAACTATAAAAACCACATAGCCTCAACTAGTTGAATCAAGGCCAATAACAATCCATTTTGACGAACATATTACCAGCCACAGCAGAAGAAAGCTCATCCTCACTCTTAGCAACAGCATTTCCACGTCCATCGTAAGCTAACCTTTTACTTTTTATCATAAGAGGATAGCCAAAGAGGTCCCCTGCTCTCTTGGCACCTTCAAGATCATCTATCTGCCTTAGCCACATTTTACAGTAAATAATACATAATCTTGCACTCTCTAATAGAAATCAAATTCACAAAATCACGTATGGTAATACTTCAATCAGATAGATAAATGAGTAACAAACCTGCATGAATTCAGGAAGCGGAATATCATGCTTCGAAAAATGAACCTTTTGGAGATACTTATCCTGTTACATTCAAAACATGAGCCAACGCTTAGCACACTACAAAATAATAATGCAGCGATAAATGGAATGTCGAGTTAGTGCAACATGTCAATACAAGGATAAAATTTTATGACTAAATGTGAATGTTCCTCAAGAAAAACGAAACTCTGTACATAAACCAATCTGTCCAAATGGATTACTATTTGTAGCATACTAACTTTCATATGCATTAACGCAGTGATGAAAAATAAAAAGCAACATCGAAAGGAATAGACAAACCTGAATTATTCTGATTGTAGAGGCTTTGGGTTGGCAATCCACTCCTTGCTGCTCAAGCTTCTCTAACGTCTCCACATCAACATGCTCAATTTCCACAGTCAGCACTCCACATCTAATTACCACACAAATACGATTACACTCCATACATATCATTTCCAACTACACGAAACAACACAAAACAACACAACACAAAATTGGATTACAAGAACATAGAATCTTCACCTCTTTGCGAACTCTTGGACCGTCGCGCTATCATCGAAACTTCCAACCATATGATAATGGGCAAGCTCACTAGCCGGGCAGTTCTCTTGTGGGTCCAAGACCATCACTTTAATCGCCATTCGCGAAGCTGCTTGGCAGAACATCCGACCCAGTTGGCCTCCTCCAAGAACACCAACAATTACATCAGCAACTCCGTGAACAGCTACATCATCTTTCCTGCACAACAAAATATTCAAATTTTCTACATATTTATTCAAATACAATGCACGAGCGCTCAAACGCTAATTAGTTAAAAATCGTTGCTTTACATAAACTGAAACGAATTTCGGGAAAGGAACATTTACCCATTAATCACGTGAGGGTCACGTGATGCTCGACAGGCCAGGACAGGATTGCGCTTCGTTTGGGGTTGCTGCTTGAGCGAGAGAGAAGAAGAAGAAGAAGTGAAAAGCTTGTGCTTTTCCATGGAGCAGGAGAATGCGTTTTTCGTTTTCGGCGCAGCCAAACACGGCCTAAACCCAAACTCCGGCGAAGCGAAGAGCGAGTCGCAGCAGCCAGAGCTCTGTTGGAACATTGTATAGAGAGAAAACCGAAACCTCACGGCGGCGCTCTCCGTTTCTCTCTCCACACACTCTCTCTCTGTCTTCCTCGTTCTTGCTCCCTTCGAAGGGATGAATAACGCTAGGTAGAATAGTGCGACCCCACCTCTCGGACTTTTACTTAAATCACGTGACGCTCACACTTACTCGTTAGTTTTTTTTTTTTTTTTTTTTTGTAACTTTGGATGCGGTCTCTATTTATTTTTGTTATTTGATCGAAACCTTGTGGTTTTTTATTTTTGATTGAAATCTCTGAAATTAATGCAATAATACATTTCTATGTAGGTTATTATAATTTTTAAATTAAAATTTGATATTTGTAGTTATTTGTATTAAAGAGATTTTAAATAAAATCCATAATTTGTTGAAAATATTAAAAGAAATTATACTTAAATAAAACTTATGATTTGTCATTACTTATATTAATGACATTTTACATACAAAAAATTGATAATTTTTATACGATTCATTTTACATACAAAAAATTGGTACATTTTATACAAAAAAAGGTGATATGTTCTATATAATAGGTACATTTCATACAAAAAAATCAATGGGTACATTTTACATATAACAAAATGGTACCATTTTAAAGACAAATAGGTATATTATTAATAAATTATGGGTACAAATAAAAGGTCAAAAAATTATGAGGTTGCACAAAATGGAATGACATCAATCTTCTTATTGATACTTGACAGTTTACACACAATATTCACCCGTTTTACATTTCAATCACTCATCCACTCCATTAAAAATTAAAAGCAAAAAATGGTGAAAAAAAAGAAGAATATTACCAAATAAACAAACTCCCACTCAAACTCAATTAGTAAAAGAAACAAAAATAAAAACAAAAAGCTCACCAAATCTACATATTTCCAAAGTAAAATGTGAAATATGTCAGACGGTCTCAGACCCCAAAAAAGGCGGGCGAAGGGAGAAAAACGACCAACTGTATAGTATAAGGGAGGGACTCAAATCCTACTATTTTCTTTTTGTTGACTGTTGAGGGGAAAAAAAAAAAAAAGCAAGTATTACTGTACACATGATACGCCAAATCTTCGAGGGTAGTGATTTTCAAACTCCCGTTCTCTCGTTTTCTGGTCCTTCCGTTCCTTTTGTCTCTTGGTTCTTCTTCAATTTATTCAATCCAAAGACTCGATAAACAGGTACCCGCCTTCTAACTTCTCGAAGATCATGTCATGTAAGCATGCCACCTGACATAGAACAATTTACGTATAAGATATGCTGGCAAGAGTACGATGTTTGATTACTGAACTCACTTTTTGTTAGGGCGTTACATACTCAAGCTGATGTTTGATCTCTTCTTATCCCGATTTGTCGTAGTTCTCCCAGGTAAGAAGCTATATCTTGAATGAACGTCAGTCCCTCCTCACCGTGTTTAAGTGAGTTAATCGTGTGTTCAAGAAACTCTCGGTCTGCCTCCAGTGCCTTCAACCTCTTGATCATATTGGAACTCAGGATCCGGAGAGAAGCTAAATCTGTTACTTGACAGAGATCTGCGGAGTTTGGCCCACTGCAACGAATTTCACACTGTCCCTTGTCATTTGACGATGATACAGACACTTCATGTTGCACTGACAGAGGGTTTTCTTGGGAACCTCCATTTTTAGAACAATCACCTTTGGACGAATCTGAGTTTACCCCATTGGCAGAGAACAAAGAAAGTGACTTCTCTAACTTCTCTAAATACTGTAAGATTTGTATCTTCTCATCTTCGAAATCCAAAAGTGTAGCTTTTACACTACTACCATCCTTGTCACCAAAAGTCGTAGCGGCTCCTTCAACTTTGCTGTGTGTATGAGGCTTTCCATTATCCACATGTTTATGTACACTTGAACTATGTTCCATGCTGCTTGATTCGGAATGAACAACCCCAATATCCCTTGCCTGAATATCACCGGTTGTCTCTGCCAGATTATCTAGCATCGATTCATTGGGATACTTATTCCTATAAAATTCCAGCTCCGCTTCCAGATCTTGTACTTCCTTCTCCTTCTCGACAAGAAGGTCGTCTGTCTTTTGCAGCGCTTCATTATCATACTCGGCTTGCTCTTCCATCATTCTTAGTTGCTGGAGTGCTTCCATACGGAGTGCTGCCTTCTCCTCTTGCAGTCTTGTAATCATGGCCATTGCTTGATCTGAAGCGATTGAAGAAGCATTTCTTTCTTCCTCCAACTCCTTATACAAAGCGTTCATAATTTTCTTATCATGCTCAACTTGACGCTTTAATCGATCAACCATACTCTCACCCTCAATTTCACTGACAATGCTCCCATCCACAGACAGCCCAGACTCATTTCTTTCAAGTGAGATCCTCTTGTTATGTATCTGCATTCCAAAATAATTGGAAGTATCCGAAGCTTTCAAATCACCACTATTTGCTGACAATCTTGGACTCATTACGCTTCCACTATTTGCAGACAATCTCGGACTCATTGCACTTCCACTATTTGTAGACAATCTCGGACTCATTGCGCTTGTTGATTGCTCAAGCCCTCGAGTTGTAGACAACTGTGACAGCAAGACCTTCAAATCTTCAGTAACTTTAGAAGAGTCCTTCCCAATCCATTGTTCTGCAACCACACCAGACAAATGCCTTCCTTTACTAACAACAACAAGTTTATAAGCATCACCAAGGTCTAGAACATTGGTTACTTGTTCATTAGCGTTGCTTGAAACAAGGTTTGTTTCCAAACCTGTTTCAGATGTTGTAAGTGGCATGACTTCTCCCTTGTACAATTCCCCAGATTCCACCACAGATGTTTGATCGATTTCATGATTTCCGGTAATATCAACTGAGAGAAACCACCACAGAAAAGAATGATCATTGTAAAGTTAATCTACAGCAGTAAACAATGGGTGCTTAATGCAGAAGCATTTCATACAAAAATCAATAATATGTTGAATTCAAAGAGAAAAAAATAGCGAAATCAAGACAATGTGGAAAAGAGGAAACTGAAAAAAGTTCCGAACTCACTTCTTTGTTTTGATACTTCAATTGGGGGTTTCATTGCATTTGATGATGAAGGGTGATTGTCAACGATGGGTGCAGTTGACGAAGGGAGATCAGCCTTGCTTCCAACTTGTTGCCAGTTAAGTTCCTCCAGTCCATGGCCGATAGCAACAGTAGATGCTACAGATGTACTACCATGGGACTTAGAATCAACTTGTGTCTGTGAGACCAAAATTGAAGGCTTGAGAACAGATACTGGATCTCTCGGAGCTGATTTATCTTCCTTGGGATTGTCTCTTTCATGAATCAAAGCACTTGCATCATCATTGTCAGAACAATGAACTTCCGATTCAGTATCAGAGTTAACCTTGAGTTCTGTGTATCGGACATGAGATATAGGGTGAATCCCATTCTCTATCATATGAGTGGTTCTTGCTGACATATATGATTCATCTCGTGCCTTCCTCGGTTCTTTCTGATTATATTCAATAGAACGAGATAGGGGCATATCAAGTTCAGCATCAGCGCTAAATATTTTTGTCTGAATCAACTTTTGAGAATGCCCCTGAGAAATCCATGGCTGATTGCAACAAGAACACAACGTTCTCCTTGAAGAGCAAAGTAAAGGGTCCTGATCGAAATCAAATTTAGGATCATCCCCCAACTTACCCACCAGTAATCTGCAAGTCTCAGCATTGGATCTATTAAATGTTGCAAATGAGAAGAGGCAACTTTCACACATTCCATGAACATCTACAAGCTTATTGTGAGCACGGCAAAGAACCAACGAAGAAATCTCTGACTTATGATTTCCGCAGAACAAGTCCCAATAATAACCAAGTTTTTCCTTGCCCAAAACATCATCAATTCTTGAACACAGCGGGCAAGGCGCTTGCAATCCACAGTAATAAGCAAACTTTGTAATAACATATGAGAATATGGCGTAAACAAACAGCATAGAAATCAGCAGCCATTCAAAAAGAGCGTGTACCAAAGCTTCAGACCAATCCCGGGGGGCTTTCTGCGTCAATGCAGATGAAGTCCCCGAGGCAGCCATGTGCTCAGAGTAGGAAACACTAGTCCTTCAAATTGGAATCAGTAATCCAAGGTGAAATCCAGCAACATCTCCCGCAACGGACAAGGGAGATTCAGGATACTCAGAACAATCACCAAAACAGCTAGTTTAGCACCGGAATTCAGGCCTGCATTACAACTCCTGTTAGCTGAGAGGGCAGCAAGGAGCAATCTAAACATAACAAAATCATCCCGAAAAAGGAAACATCTTAAACCAACAACCAAAAAGGGAAGCAAGTGACATGCATAAACAGAACATTCTTAAGAACACACACCACATTTCTCGTAGAAAAACCGAAATCAAAAGAATCGATAACATGCAGATCGAACCAATTGCTAATGCCCCAAATCTCATTTCTCAACAGGATCAAAACCCACTTAATCAAAAGCTTACATTTCCATTAAAAGCAGAAACTACTTTTAAGGGTCAAGGCCTGAAAAGCACAAGTTCATAGCAGCAAGCACTAACCAATTCATCTCAGATGATCAACTCTGAGACAACCCATATCGAAAATTCCAAATGCAATTTCACCAACCACAAGGATTAATTCTAAGCAATAAAACAAAATATTAATTTCGAAATTAAATTTGATCACTTGAAATGTCAATACCCATCAGAAGGTTTAAGGGCCTGATTCAATCTAATTAAGCAGATTTGATTTTACACAACAGAAACTCGGTTCACGTAAAGAATCAATATTTAACCAAAACCCAATTCAATTAGCAACAAAAATTTCAGATCATCATATATAACTTGGGAAATTTTGATTAAAATGATCAGAAATCAAATTCCGTAACCAAAATCAAATATCGACCACATTATAATATAAAGATTAAATATTTATGACATAACAACATATTAAAAAACTGATCATTATTGTAATTGGGTCAGGTAACTACGAAATTAGAAACTGACCTGTTCATGTGGTGGAACAAAAAAAGGAATGGAATGATTGAATTTTTCAGAACTAATGGCAAACACCAAAAAAGGAATAACGGGTTTGGTGAGAGAGAATTTTAGAGAGAGAGAGAGAGAGAGAGAGAGGGACAGCGACGAAAGTATCAACCCAAAGGTTGAAGCTTTACGACATCTGACGACGCACGTTGTCGTGCCACATCGCAAGAATTCAAAAGTTGGGAGTTGAAACAAAAGCCGACGGACAGACGCCAAAATGTCGGCTGCCGATCGAGGACAAAACGACACCGTACGCAAAGGTCCCCTCTATAAAAAGAAAAATAGAAAGAAAAAAAATTAATGAAAAAAAATTTAAAAACTTTAAGTTTTAACGAAAATAACAAAAATGTGTTGCAAGTGAATAATATCATGATTGATTTTTTAGAGTACAAATATGGTTTTTCGTTAAAGTGAACAGTAACGGTAGTGTTTCGTTAAAACTCAAAAAAAAAAAAAAAATTAAATTAAATAGGCTATTCGGTTGGACTTGAATCAACGGCAAGGATTTTCCCACCAAAAAAAAAATGAACAGCAAAGATTCCCAGGGAAATTTTGTTTTATCTCAAAATTATCAAAGAAACAAGTAAAATTTTATTTGGTTTTTTAGCTAAAATGGTCATTAAAATTAATGTAATTTTTTGTTTGTGACAATAAAAATCGATAGAACTTATCTTTGAGTTTATCTACTATAAATTATTTTAATCGTTCACTAAATAAACAATGAATAATTTGAATTAAAAGACCCTAATCATCAAAGCAATTCATCATTTTAATTTTATATTAATAAGATATTCTACCAGTGTTTTTTCTTAAGTCATCACATATTGAATACAAAAGCAAATGACATATCAATTGTCGTATTTATACAAATCAAATATTACAATAAGCTCCTTTAAGTGCTATCACACCACTTAGTAACCCGCGTGTACAAATTATTTGACCGTACATGTGATTCGATATATCATGTCGATAACGTTTTCAAATGTTTATATTGAGTACGCGTTCATACTGCAACAATTACTTTATTTTTCTTGTGAGTGTGCTTGCCTTTCCGTAAAAGGCAAATCCTCCATAAACCAATTAGGGCAAAACAGTAATTCCAAAAATCAATTCCCAATTCCTTTGACCTAAATGCCCTCTTTTTTCTCAATTCCATCGTACCTGTATTTCCCTTCTCAACCCTGAACATACACTGCCTCTTCTGCCCCTGTAATTCCCAATCTCTCTTCCTCTCCTTCTTGCCCTTCACGATTTTCTTCGCAATTTACCCGCCAATTTCCTTCCACTCCATCTTTTCAAACTGTCGCTGTTTTTCGCCTCTTTCTTTTCTGCACTCTCCGTCCCTCTTCTTCCTGCAATTCCAAGACCTCGACTTTCGAGCTCTATCCGTCTTCCGTCGCCTCGGGACTTGGATTCTTGGTGTTTTCAGCAGTATCCAGTTCGTGGTTTTGTTGATTGGGTCGATTTTGAAGATGAATTTGTACGATTTAATTGGGTCTGGAGCTAGGGTTTTCGGAAATTTCAGGTACCCTTTTGTTTGATTTTCCACTGTTGAGAGCTTTTCGTTAATTGAGTCTGTGTTGTTTGGAGTTTTTTCAATTTTGAAAGTTTAATGAATATGATCGTTTATTTCTTGAGTGGCTCTTTAATGGGTTGTGTTAATTTAGCTTGTTTTGCTGTTAATTTGGGGTTAACGATTGTTTTTTGTTGAAAGATTATTGCTTTGGCTTTGATGTCCATGATGATTGAAAAAATAAATGTGTTCATTCTGTGGTTTTTGCTTTTGTATGAAGCAGGAGGTACTGAATTAGAGTACTTATTTTCAGTGGATCGAAATTTTTTTTCGAAGAACAGGTGAGTAAAAAGTATGGATTTTTATGCTGAAATTATGTTTTGGTTTTAAAGAATGCAAGCTCAGTTTAGTTAATAGCCATGGTATTGGTGAGCCGCCCGAGTGATGCTTATGCTGTAAGAGATCTGAATGTGCAGGGCTTGGTTAGACTTTTCGATTTCCTTTGTTTTCATCCTTTTCACAGCACAAGCAGATGAGATACTTGTTTTATTTGATTGGTTTTGATCTCCAACAGCCACAGCTGATGTTTTAAATGTTTCAAAGTAAAATGTCGTGGCACTTTTTTGTTTCAAAGTTGTGGATGTACTATTTTGCAGTTTTTAGAATATAGCTTGGGTTGTGTGTGTGTGTATATTTTGTGGTATTATACGACAATTGGCGCACAAATATATAAGTTTCTTCTACTTGCTTTCCTCTCTTGCACTCTTTCTCTTCCCCCTCTCGTTTCTCTTGGCATCTTTGTGTTTTCAATTACATTGTTTCTGGTCACGGTTTTAGCTGGTTACTGCTTTGGAGGCATGCAGATTTTAGAAGTGCAAGCATGTATAGAAATTGCTGAGTGTTTGTCTTGCTAAGTGTTTATTTATATTTTCCAAATTTATTGTAATATCTTCTTGTGATGGAGATGTGTGTGGATTTAGAGTAGATGCTTGATGCGATAGAGGTATGTGATTCATTACTGACCGTAGTTATAGTGCTTTGTAGGCATGCTTTAGTACAGTTTGAAAGGCAGTGCTTCCAATTATAAATTGGTTGTATCTTTGGGAGGCTGCGAAGCTGTTGCCGTCTTTGTTATACTTAATACAGTGTGATTGACTTCTTTAATGGCTAACCATGATTTGATGCTTGGGCAAAGTCACAATTTAGCACTTGGGCAGAATCAGCAAGTACTGGGCCACAATCATAACATAGGCCTTGGGCAAAATCATGATTTTGAATTGGGACAGGCCCACGACCATGAATTGGGTTTAGGGCATGCTGATCATGAATTGGGTTTAGGACAGAGCCATGACCAAGAAGGGAACGATGATCACAGCTATGGGCATGATAATGAGTTAGGTGTGGATCGGAAACCTAATCATGATGACCATGAAATGCCTCTTTCTACTCAGAACCATAATATGGTCTTAGAGAACAATGAATTGGCTGTCTCAGAGAACCAAGAACTTGATGAAAATATGGAACTGTCTATGGATCAAAATAATGAAATGGGGATAGAATCTGCCCATGGTTTGAGTATCCAGGAATCTGATTTTGCAGTTGCACTCAGCCCCAGTCCTGTGATTCAGGCCCGTATGGCGCTTGTAAATCCCAATTATGAATTGTCAGTCGGGCAAGAGTTCCCTGATGTCAAGAGCTGCCGGAGAGCATTGAGGGATACAGCTATTGCCTTACACTTTGAAATGCAGACTATTAAATCTGACAAAACTCGCTTCACTGCTAAATGTGCCACTGAGGGATGCCCATGGCGTATTCATGCCGCAAAGCTTCCCGGAGTTCCAACTTTCACAATCAGGACCATCCATGAGAATCATACATGTGGAGGAATTTCCCATCTTGGCCATCAGCAAGCCTCAGTTCAATGGGTTGCAAATTCTGTGGAGCAACGGCTTAGAGAGAACCCTAATTACAAGCCAAAGGAGATACTGGAGGAGATTCACCGAGTTCACGGTATCACCTTATCATACAAGCAAGCTTGGCGAGGCAAGGAGCGTATCATGGCTGCAATGCGTGGATCCTTTGAAGAAGGGTATCGATTGCTTCCACAATATTGTGAACAGCTTAAGCGGACAAACCCAGGGAGTATTGCATCTGTTTATGCATGCCCGAATGATAACAGCTTCCAGCGCCTCTTCATATCATTTCAGGCATCAATTTATGGTTTCCTGAATGCTTGTCGGCCCCTCCTTGGACTTGATAGGACATATTTGAAAAGTAAGTATCTGGGAACTTTGCTTCTTGCGACCGGTTTTGATGGTGATGGTGCTCTCTTTCCTTTGGCTTTCGGGGTTGTTGCTGAAGAGAATGATGATAACTGGATGTGGTTTCTTTCTGAACTTCATAATCTGCTTGAGATTAATACAGAAAACATGCCTAGGCTTACAATTTTATCAGACAGGCAGAAGGGCATTGTAGATGGAGTTGAAGCAAACTTTCCTACTGCTTTTCATGGATTTTGCATGCGCCACTTGATTGATAGCTTCCGCAAAGAGTTTAACAATACAATGCTTGTTAATCTTTTATGGGAGGCTGCTCAGGTTCTCACTGTTATAGAATTTGAAGCAAAAATTTTGGAGATTGAAGAGATATCACAAGATGCTGCATTTTGGATTAGGCGAATTCCACCTCGCTTGTGGGCTACTGCTTATTTTGAGGGAACAAGGTTTGGGCATTTGACAGCTAACATAGTCGAATCTCTAAATACTTGGATATTGGAGGCGTCGGGGCTTCCAATCATTCAGATGATGGAATTTATCAGAAGGCAGCTGATGACTTGGTTCAATGAGCGTCGAGAGGTCAGTATGCAGTGGACATCGATTCTTGTGCCCAGTGCAGAGAGCCGTGTTGCGGAGGCTGAAGAGCGTGCACGTACTTATCAGGTCCTTCGTGCTAACGAGGCTGAATTTGAAGTTATATCCCATGAAGGGACGAACATAGTGGACATTCGAAACCGTTGCTGCCTTTGTCGTGGCTGGCAGCTTTATGGTTTGCCATGTGCACATGCCGTTGCCGCACTTAAATCTTGCCGGCAGCAAGTCAATCGGTTTACCGAGAGCTGCTTCACAGTCACAACCTATCGGAAGACATACTCACAAACAATACATCCTATTCCAGACAAGTCCCTCTGGAAGGAGTTATCCGAGGGAGATCCAAATGCGAGCATGGCTGCTGATGTTCTAATCAACCCACCTAAGTCACTCCGCCCACCAGGACGACCGCGAAAGAAGCGTGTTCGAGCAGAAGACCGTGGCCGTGTGAAGCGAGTTGTGCATTGTAGTCGGTGCAATCAAACCGGCCACTTTAGGACGACTTGTGCGGCTCCCATATAGATTGTGTCACTACTTGCCTATTAGCGTGCAATCTGAGTCCGTCCCTCGTTTGTTTAAAAAGGAATTTTCGCTTTGTGATTATTTATGTAATCTTTGCTAGTTAAATCGGTAATTAGTTATGTAGTCTTTGCTAGTTGATGCTGTATTTCGTACAAGTTTATGTGCCTCAAGGCTTATTATCTGCAGTCATAATATGAATGTTACTAGCGCCAATAATTTTCAATGTTGATTGTGAGATCATGATGTTTTTATCATTGGTTGCACTTGAGATTTTGCCGTGTCAATGGGGGCAACGCACAATAAGTCTTGCAGTGTTAAATATTGTTAACACATGTTGGAGTACTTGGGGTTAACGGAAGATTTGGTGCAAACTCTAGTGCAGTGGTGTTTTAAGATTCATACATCTGACCTTACTTAGTAGGATAAGGTTTGATTGTTGTTGTACATGTTGGCTCGTATCTCAGCTCTTTTTGTAGGGCACTTAATAAGAGAGATTCTTGTGAGCAGATGCCCGTATAGGGCAGAAGACTCAAACAAGTGGGAGAAATGTGGAGTTGGGTGAGATCATATACAAAGATTTTCCTCTTTTGTGAGAATGGCCGAACTGGTGACATGGCACAAGTGGCCGAACCCAAGAATTTCTCCTTGACTACACCCAATTTAAAACGAGAACTAAACGAAACATGAAATACTAGATAACGATCGTGGTCAAAGAACCTTTATTATTATGTAATTTAACTTATCTATTGATGTTTCGTACAGTCAGTTGGCTTGAAAAATGCCACCATTGTTTCCAGGTCATAACCAATCAAGAAATTTGACTGAGCAAATCCACCATAAATACCGACATCCCAAGGAACAGTTTGCATTGCAAAGCAGAAAACCTCATCTTTTGGTGGAACAAATGTTTGTATTGTTGTTAACTTCACATCAGCACCCTCAAAGTGCACAGTCAATATTGACCCTTTCAGATTAGTCTTGCTCTTGTAGCAAAGCTGAGTTCCCAAACTTGGATCATCACCAATTGGCGTCATCGGAATCTGACTCCTTACTTCCGCCACCAAACGGTCATAAAAATCTTGTGGAATTAGGGTTGGAGGCGTGCCGGTGTCCATGAACATGTTGCCTTTAGAAACTTCGCCCGATGAATTAAAAGGCACAAACTTATTTCCAACACTAATCCCCTTTAGGGTTACAAAATATGGAGTCTTGTCTTCTTTGGTGACCAAAGGCGTCGAAACCACACCGTCTCCAAATACTTCACTACCCTCCCCAAAACTGATCTTACTTTCAATGCTAGGATCAGTGTGAAATGGCACCAAACAGAATGAGAATTTTTTGCCTCCAACAAGGGGACTCAATTGGGAAACAAGGGATAGGTCCCCTCCTCCAAGGCCAATGATACCCATTTCATTCTCGTTAAAAGTCCCAGTATTGTTATGTCCGCAACCAAACACAATATTTTCCAGAGAAGTAGCATTCCCTGAGGTGGATGTTATGGTAATCGTCTCTTTCGATAGGATCCCTTGGGTTACAGCAGCACTTCCGTACGCATAAGTGTAATTGCAAGCGTGTCGAAGTGAACATGTAATAGTGCCAATTGTTTGACATTCTTGTGCGTAACAAGAAAGGTCTTTATACGTTGACGACTTTGTTGGGTCGAATAACGGATTAATCTGCTTGTAGCAGCCGGGACATGGTGCGCATTGTGTCCATATTAGGTCACTGCCTGTATCAGCAATGCCATATACATCCAATGGCGGGTTTCCGATGGAGAGCTTAAAAAGGTAGTGCCCATTGTCAGCTGTTATTTGTGATTGTGCGCTGTTTGGATAGAATGTCTGTCTCATGGAACGTCGAAAGGCTTTGTTTAAGCTCTTTGGATGAGTTTTGTAGAAGGGTGAACTCAGTGAGTCTCGGTGTATAAGTTTGACGCTGAACCCTCCATTGATACTTGCTGATGATGATTGGAATACAAGAAAAACGAAAAGAATAGTCACTGCACCAAAGGTTGAATAACTCATAGGTGCCATGAGAGAGAGAGAGAGAGAGAAGAAGATGTGCGATGAGATTGGTTGCAAAGATACATGCAATATAAACGGGAGTAGAAGGTGATAGATTTGTATTGATGGCTAAATCCATATAGAAATCAACATGGATCGTCATGGATCACCTGTACATCTATATAGAAATCAACAGGGATTTTCATGGATCACCTGTATTAATGTTGCTTATTCTCTATATAATACTGGCCTTGGATTACCTACTAAAATATATGACAAGGTTCAACTCTAGCTACTAATAATTCGATTTCATTCCTTAATATTTAGAAAATATGTAAGCGTTTAATTAAATATAAAATCTCTAGCCACATACCCTATTATTTTATGCCTATTATATATGATGAAAATATTGGTATTATAGTCTGGTAGTTACCCATGGATATATGGCCGTCTAAGGCTGGTATTCTACGTACGTGCTCAAAGATTAAAGAACTTCAATTTTCCAATCAAAATTTGCTGCACCTACCGATATGAGAAGATCGTAGTGGATGCAACAAACCATGAAAATTAGTCCCAATCGTATATAGAAATGGAAATACTAGTTAGCTACTTTCTTCCAAGTCAAAATCAGAACCGTTCATCTCCTAAGTCATCAAACGGTTCACAACTTCATAAGCCTATGTCAGCAATCGAACAGCCGACTTCCAATCAGAGCTTTAGAATTTACTGGCATTGTCCGAAAGGATAGCGGATGAGATGATTGAATATGAGGAGTTATCTGCAGGCCGAAAGGATGGCTTCCTGTACGGAGTTTGTCAAGGAGGAAGTAGGCAAAAAGGAGAGACGCATGCAGGAGGAAGAGGAATTCCACAGGCGAAAAGTGGAAGGGATGAGTGAGGAAGTTGAATGCACACTTGAAAATACGAGGCTTTACAAATGGTACCCTCTACAAACACCAGGCGCTCCTCAGTTCATGAGGTTCTGTGACCATTGATTTCAAAATCCTCGCTAGCTAGCTTCTCTATGATTTGCTAGCACATAAATTCTGTTTAATTTTTAGGTTCATTAGCTATTTCTTCCTTGTTCATCAGCTAAAGAAGTTTACTTTTTTTTTCTTTCAATAAAGTTGCTACGCACTCGTGTCAAAGTCCTTAAATTACTTTGTATTTGATTATTTTGATTAGTTGCATGAAATTAAGCATGCAAAATAAAGAGAAAAATATTTTAAAACTCGACCAATTAAATCAGACAAGTACACAACAAAACATGTCCATTAAACCGAAAACGGGTAAGATTCAGAGAGAATTTGAGAAATCAAGCCTCCGGTAACCCTAATGAACACAAACTATAGTGTATATATATAGTACAAGACAACTGAGCTGAAGAAGCTATTTCCCAGGAATAACTTTTTCATTCTCAACTTTGACAAACCAAATTCACAACAAATTATTGGGGGAATACCAACATTTAATACCAGGATTCATCAACATTTTCTACTGATCAAGGCTACCCAGTTTCTCGTACGTGCTCTCCTTTGAAACTCTTTCTGCTGCTTCCAAAACCAGTCGTCGTCTTTCTGATCTTAATCTTGACACGATTGATGTACTCTGAAAATATGTCCCTGGTATGATCCTCATTCTTTGCAACATGTACATGTACATCATCTAAATTGGAGTTAGAGGCACTCCTATTCCAACCGCCCAAATTCGTCCGAGTTCTGATTTTCATCTTTGTGCGTTTAATGTAAGCAGAAAATCCATCGTTGGTAGCCTGTTTCTGAACCTCTGACATGGGTTTTTTATGATCATTAGCTTTCTTAGCTTTCTGATCGTGGGTTAATAGTGAAGGTTTTGGAGTATGAGAAGCAGGGACAGGGCCTTGTTGGCGATAGAAGAAGCTATGATTATGACCATCATGTTCTTGACGAGTAGAACAGCAGACAAATGAGCTGAAAAAATTTTCACCCCCCGCCATCGGAGTCTGAACTTTTTTCTCTTTGCTAAATAAAAAACGGGAGACTTTGTTGTATGTTTGGAAGAGAAGAGATATAAGTAAGAAAGCTTTTGTTGGGTAAAATAATTAAAGGGTTGGACGAAAGAAACCATAGAGAAACATATTAGGCTAAGATTCTCCATAAAGTAGACTTCTTCATATTTTTCAAGTGATATGATGTTTGGGATCATATTCCCACCCAATGCGTCCTTATCTTCACGAATCTAGCAAGCACGCTTCACGCAACACAAAGACTTGACGACATTTTAGATGCTCTCCATCAGTTTTACACAACATAACATGTGCACGAATCTGTTAATTTCGTGATTCTTACAAATGCGCGAAAACATAGTGATTCCACTAATTATAAATAATTGAAAGTTCAAAATTATCTTTCTTTCTGGAGGAAAATTATTCTGGGAGAACCTTAAACTAGCTTATAGTCAAGAAGAATTCACTTTCTTCCTTGAAGTCATGATGCTTTTTTGGTGACGCTTCCCTGGTGCAGAATCACAGGTGTTGAAAAATAATTAAGCCTCCTAGGTGGCATGAGCAGCTACAACGCTGGTACCTTAACTTTAGAGGACGTGTTACACTGGCTTCTGTTAAAAAAATCCAACTTGTGGCAGCTGTTGATCCGCCCACAATGTTTTGGCTGAAGAGCAAGAGAGAATCCTACAGTGTGGAAAGAATCGAAAGATTGAAAAAGACATCTTCACCTTGGATTATCGATCGCTACCCGCTGTCCTCTTTCCAAGCGTTTGCAATCTGCTTAAGCAGCTTGGACACCAAACCAGCTTGTGAATGAAACACTTAGTCGTAGAACATGATCGTCCTTTGCTGAATTTTGTTCTTTAATTTCAAACCATATGCATGTTCTACAAGTTCTTCATGCATGATCATGTAAGTCTGAAAATCACAGCTATTGTAATCAATTCACTTTTCTCATGGCTGCCAAAAAAAAAAAAAAAATCTAATACCAAATTGCCGGCTAACAAAGATCTTGAATTAACAACTGAGGCTGAAATCTATAACCGCAAAGTTAAATCTCGAATACCTACTTTTTAAAGGATAATAATTAATTTTAGGAAGATAATCACTGGAATCACCAATACAACCCTTATTAATCAAGACTTTAGCAGAACCATAGACATAAATATGGAAACTGTCATTGTAGATTGAGATCCTCTAAGCTAACTGTAAAGCTCCGCAGTATATTTTCACCCTTCTTACTCTCTTTTGAAAGAGATAACCTCTCGGCTTCCAAAACTTGATGTCTTTCTGAACCTCATCTTTGCTAATTAGGGCTTATTTTGGGGTTTAAGTTTTTGATATTATTCTTCTCATAAAGGAGAGAAATATATATTGTACAAGATTGATTTACAAGGAAAGAAACACCAAATAATACATATCCTAATTACATCCTGATTACAAGGACCCAAACAGGTAACTAAGCTAATTACAAAGGTCAACTCTCCAACACTCCCCCTCAAGTTGGTGCATAAATGTCGTTCATGCCCAACTTGACGAGAGAGTTGTAAAACGCTTGACTGGCAACAGCTTTAGCTAAAATGTCCGCTAATTGATCCTATGACTTTACGAACAGGATTTGAATAATATTCTCATCCAACTTCTCCTTAATGAAGTGTCTGTCAACTTCCACATGTTTCATGTGATCATGCTAGATTGGGTTGTGTGAGATATCAATCACTGCTTTATTATCGCAAAACAAATTTGAAGCCGACATTGAAGGACACCCAAGTTCTTTGAGTAACCTCCGAAGCCATAATAATTCACATACTCCTTTTGCCATACCTCTGTATTCCACCTCTGCACTTGATAAAGCAACCACTTTCTGTTTCTTACTCCGTCAAGTCACTAAATTTCCCCCCACAAATGTAAAGTAACCCGATGTGGATCGTCGATCAGTAATATTCCCTGCCCAATCTGCATCGGTATAACCTTCTATCCGGCAATGACCATTCTTAGAAAACATGATGCCTCTACCTGGGGCAGACTTTAGGTATCGTAAAATGCGTTCAACCATACCCATATGCGCATCACTCGGCAAATGCATAAATTGGCTAACAACACTTACTGCATATGCAATATCAAGCTTGGTATGAGATAAATAAATTAACCTCCCAACTAACCTTTGATAACGATCTCGATTAGTGGGAACTTGATCAGGGTGCAGGGCAAAATGGTGATTTTGGACTATAGGGGTGTCAACCAGTTTACAATCAAGCATTTCAATTTCGACTAACAAGTCAAGAACATATTTTCTTTGAGATAGAAATATACCCTGTTTAGATCGAGCTACTTCTGTACCCAAGAAATATTTCAATCCACCAAGATCTTTCATCTCGAACTCAGTTGCTAAGTAATCTTTCAGGCTTGAGATTTCCTCTTTATCATCACTCGTAACAATCATATCATCCACATAAATAATAAGTGCCGTCAATTTACCCATTCGACGTTTCAAGAAAAGTGTATGATCGGAATTGCTCTGCCTGAACCCATACTTCCTCATAGCCATTCGGAACCTACCAAACCATGCCCGAGGTGATTGTTTTAATCCATACAATGCCTTATTCAACTTACACACCATTCTGGGTTGTGAAACTGATGCATAACTAGGTGGAATATCCATATACGCTTCTTCTTTAAGATTACCATGTAAGAAAACATTTTTCACATCAAATTACTGTAATGGCCAATCCAAGTTAGCCGCCAACAAAATTAACACTCTTACCGTATTAATCTTTGCTATCAGAGCAAATGTTTCTGTATAATCAACACCATACGTCTGAGTGTATCCCTTGGCCACCAATCGTGCTTCGTATCATTTAATC